ATCTTCTCTCTCTCTCTCTCTCTCTCTCTCTCCCCTCTCTCTCTCTCTCTCTCTCTCTCTCTCTCTCACTCATACGCATATTGGCACCTACACTAACACACACACACACGCACACACACACACACACACACACACACACACATACACAAACACACACACACACACACACACACACACACATAGACAGACAGACATGTGTAGACAGACACTAAAACAACTTCCCTTTCTTTCCTTGATCTTACTTCTATTCCGACGCCATTTCAAGAACACTAAGTCTCTAAAGATTACCTAATTTGTTCCCTTCACCAAAGAAACAAACAACAAGCGGCCCTCTCCTAAAAACCCACAAAAAACCAAACTCAAAAACGATACAAAACTTCCAGTCGGTAACTCGATAGAGGTACATTGGTCACTCCCCGCCTCTGGCTCAGCGAGACTTTAATCAGTACGCTAGTCAGGTCATCCCGGAGTCGTCTTTCAACAAATAAGTTGTTCTAGAAGAAGCTAAATATTTTAGTGGCTATAACGAGGTCCCACACTTCCTCCCTACTGTGCTGCGCTGGTCAGTTGGTCAGCAATAGTTGTTATTTAGAGCTTCTTATTTCCTTTGCTAATTCAATTTGTTGACAGGGTACCCCACAGAACAATTTTCAACAAGTAGTTTTCTTTTTATCATTTTGATCAGCGAATTCCTTTCTTTCTTGTAACTCAGACATCAGCCTATTACATCTTTTCTTGTTTGCCGTTCTTGGGTGAAAAATTGAAAGCATCACTAAATACATGTATCATGTTTTGAAGACACTCTGCAGTATCTGAGAAGCCTATCTTTTAAAGACCGTGCTGTTCTGATGTAATGGGTTCTCTCTGTGGACATTATATTATAAGCACGCTATGCACTGTCCATATCTCAGATTAGCAGCCATTGAACAATGTATGCCCCTTCCATACCGATATGTAGGTATAGGTCACCAAAATATAGTTTGCTCGCTTCACACAGCGGTGTTTACTTCAGTCCCATATTATTAAAAAATTGAACCTCTAATTTTTAGGTCCCTTTCTGGACACGAGGGCAGGTACGAGAAATTCCGATGGTAAAGTATTTAACGTAAGCATAAACGTGAATCATAATCCTGGACCAGGAACTGGCCACCACTTTTTGCTCTCTCTCTAAAACTGCTTCGCTGGTGCGCACTATGCACTTTCACATAAAGGGCAAAACTGTGCCAGTCTCGCTATAGTAGAATGCAAGCTCACCTTTCCCCACCCTCTTCCTCTTCTTTTGGCTTGAAATAAAGTCAAATGTAGGGTCCCATAGTGAACTGAAATTACGTCAGAGTAATGGTCTATGATATCATAATAAAAGTCTATGATAATAATTAATATGAATTAATATGTAATATTTTATACTGAGCACTCCATGGCCATTGCTCTTTGTTCTTTATAACAATTTCCCGGCGCTTGTAGGCACTTTGTGCTCGCAAACGAAGGGCAAAACACAAGTAATGTTGTAGTCGGGTTCGTGCTCAGCCTTTCTCTTCTTGCCCTTCTTATTGTTCCAAATAGAGTAAATTGGTGCACTCCATGTAGACCAAGAATTATGCCATATTGCACGCCTTGGATATCATAATACAAACCAATGAGAAGAATGAACTCTCTACGTCAACAGACTTCTCATAGTATGTTCCATTTTTTCAAAGCCAACCTACACACAGTGTAAGCCAGTGATATGCCCCCCCCCCTTCCACCCTCCTCCAGCTATCTGTTATGTAAGGGAAACTTGGGGCCTGGTGTCCCATTTCTGTAAGTAAAAACACGTGCAGTTGGAAGCCGAAGAAGACGTTGCTTATCTTTCGTCTTGCAATCAACAACCAGGTCAAAATATCAGTCTGTACCCAGAACAGAGAAACCGTTTGTTTAAAAGATGTGAACTTGAAATGGAAAGTCGTGGTTACAAGGAGAGCCGCTCTGATAAAGCGAGTCTGTCAAATGAAATTTATTTGACGATTTTAGCTAGAAACCAGTGCTCCCTTATTATTCAGGTCATAAAAAAACCGACAGAAGTAAACTTTATGGGGGGCTTATGCAGCCTTGGATGATTTTGGAGCCCATTACAGAAAATTCAGAATATGTCTTGAAATAGATAAAATTCGGCCAATTATGGCAACATGATATTACATCCCAGAAGTTTCTACATTTTGCAGTCCCCTACCGACCTGTTTCCGCCCCCTTGTTAAATTAACTACAGCAAAACGTTCCACCCCCTTCCACGATGTCAACCTTTTCCACCTCGTCAACTTGAAAACAGTCTAAGGAAAAGACTAAGCATCTCTTATTTCTTCCAGCATCCCAGGCGGAATTAATTGGCCCGGCCCTATAGCAAAACTAGAAGCTGAGTCTTACCTCAAATGGTCCGCGTCCTCCCGCTGTTTTCCTCTCACTTCTGTTCACTTCCGGAACGGCTCATTAGTTCCCTCGCCACTTCCGCAGTCTGCGAGCCTCCGCGAGTCCACCTGGTGGAGGGAGAGAGTAATTAGCAGGTGCAGGGCCGGACCAGGGGCGGAGATGACAAGTTATTCAAGTCGCCCGGTCGTCACTTGAGTTAGTCCCAGATCCGATTCTCCCCGATCTGAGGTTTACGTGTTCCTTTTTCGATTATTTCACACTTTCAGGGATGGTCGAGCTGTATTGATTTCCATTTTAATAGGCTCTGAGGTAGGTGTAGAGCCGAGAACAGAAAATGAGGGAAGTGTAACACTAGAAATGTATAGGCTTAGTGGGGTGCCATCTGATGTGGAATCCAGCTTATTATTCGAAAAAGGAGGGGGGGGGGCATGGATTATACCCTAAATATACATAATGTATTAACGTGATGTGCTCATTTAACAAATTCTATGACTTTTTAGATAGTGATTTTTGAAGAGGAGGTATTTGAGAGAATTTCATTTGTCAATATGACGGGGAAATGTTAATGATACAATTAGGCAACCTGGTGACCTCTTCAAATATACATAAACCGAAAGGCCGTTTTGGCCGACTGATTGGGATTACATCTGGGAAGTACGAGTTACGAGGCAAGCGCTATAACAGCTAGGCGACTCTGTTCCCTCCGAGATTAAATTGGCTGAGTCATTTCTTATTTAGGTTCAGGAGAAATACATTTCGAGAAAGACTCCCGTCTCTCCCCATTCCCACTTCAAGTTTTTGGGTATAAAAATAAAAAAGCCTTGATGCACATTATTTCCCCGAGTGATTTTTCCTTTGAACAGAAAACTATAGAGCCATGGAATGCACATCTCACTTTTTAAAGTGTACCAGTTGTCAGATACGCTCATAACAATAATTGGAGGGGTGAGATATGTAGATTCCTACTTGGAATTTATTTCAGTCTTTGCTGTTCTTAGAATATTCTTTCGTTTGTAAAATGAGTATTTTTACATTTTGACCCTTGCATATCACAACATTTAGACAGCCCCGACATTCAGACACGCTCTGGCAAAACACAACCTATCGTATATGGTTTTCTGTAAAAAGTTAATGGACTATTTTATTTAAAATTTCTATTGAAACGGTTTAGAAAATGGTTCGTTTTACTCATGACACAAACAAACTCAAACACACTCAGACACACAGACACACGCGCACACACACACACACACACACACACACACACACACACACACACACACACACACACACACACACACACACATACATACATACATACATATACACACACATAGACACATACTCAGACACAAACTCTCATACTTTCTCTTTTCCTCTCAAGCCCCGCCCCCTCCCCCCCTCTCTCTCTCTCCCCCTCTCTCTCTCTCTCTCTCTTTCTCTCTTTCTTTCTCTCTCTCTCCCTCTCTCTCTCTCTCACACACACACATACACACTCACTCACACACACATACACGTTAATTGTGGCTTAGGCACAGCGCTTTTCCTCGCCCCCCCCCCCATCTCATCTGTGCTAACATAATATCGCTTTCAGTTATGAAAAAATAAGATAACACCATTGCAGCACAAAGCTGAGGATTAAAATCCGACTTGGTATCAACGAAACCTCCCACACTGCTCAAACAACTGATGGACATAACTGGGTTGTACAAAACAATCAGACATGGACGTGCGTGTGATTATGGAACCGGAGATCGATGGACAACCATTGTTTGTCTTCTTCCGACCAACCGTGTCGTAACACAGAAGAAGTTTTAGAATGTAATGTTAAATCGGAAGGAAGGGAGCCCCGCATAGCACGTAAAAGCTTCGAACTGAACAAATAACACGAGGATTCATTCATTTTTTTGCCCCCACGCGTAATGAGTAAATTTGTCTGGGCTATTGTTTTTGCCCGGGTGAGCTTTTTCAGTGGGTGAGAGCGACGACTGAGATCCTGGTTGGCGTTTTCACTCAGGCTTTGACATCACGTTTGGCAGACGAGATAGACTTGACTTGACACGCATATGATGGGACTCCACCCCTAAATCTTCCCGCTGTGTAAAATAAATGAGTCCGAAGTATGCCTACTGAAGCAGTGCAGCAGCATACTAAACTTTTCTTACTTTTTAGGTGCGCCTCGAAGTTGTTTCACTATTTCACAGATCTTTAAAGCAGTACGATACGAATAAAACCATTTGACAGCAAACCGACCCCTGAACTATGTTACGAAAGCGTTATAGTATTATAATAAAACCGAGAAACTGATTCTAGATCTTCCTCGCTAATGGTTCAGTCCAACTGAAAAAGGGGGGGGGGAGGCGGGAGGGTAAAATGGTTAATAATTTACGTTTCAAATAAAACATTTGGTTTGAGTGGCACTCTGTGAGCAAAATCAATCAACAGCTAACATTGTCATTAGTGGATACAGTATATATTGAAATAAAACATTGTATGAGTTTAAGTTAAAAACAGGTTAAAGGTTATACATAGACAAGATGAGAAAAAGAATAATTTCGAAACTCGGTAAAAGTGTATTCCCCCATCCGCAGGGCACCCCCTTGTCAAACCTTTTAAGCTTGCATGGAGTTTTTATGTTTTCATAATCTTATTCAAAAGCTGTTTTGCAAATAATTTTAGAACTGTATACAAACACGTAAAACATAATCACTTTGATATCCAAATTCTAGTCAATCCAGTATTGGGACAGTCTCTTCTGTCACTTGCCCCCTCTCACATAATATTATGGTCTAACCCAAGACATGCACTGCAGTCAACTATGACATGGAATTTTATTCTGACGGAATGTCAATACAAAACCAGAGTCAAGTGTATAACGACGTTATGAAAAAGATAAAAACAGATGGTAGCTCTTCTACACCATCATTTATTATACTCTTGATCACGAGCGTCTGTATGTAGCGGTTATATAATACATAGGTACTACAAGCCCGCGCTCAGGAGACCCAAATTAGATTCCCCTGTGGGGAGAATTTTTATGGAATGTCTCTGTCTTTCTGCTGGGGTGTTGTATCCCTCTTAGCCCGGGTTGGCCCTGACAGGCAGGGTCTAAACCTGCCTCCTGAATTGAAAAGACGCCTACATTTAAACCAAATAATCCTGATCTCAAAATTCGAAAAAGGGAAGGCAAAAAGGGGAAAAAGGAGACAGCATTGAAAAAAGAAAAGCGTTCTCCGAATCTGAGATGATTTGAAAATGGCAGACATACGGAGAGGTCAGTCGTAAAAATGTAAAGATTACTGATGCATCATAAGAGTCGTAATTTTCCCCGATTGTTTCATGTTGACAAATGACTTCTTTCCATCGTTTTGCTCTCAATTTGCTTGTTTGAAAAAAATAATAATATTCACTTTGCCCGTGACAAACATAATCAATTTGATTTGCGTTCGATATACTTTACTTTGCCGTAGGACTAAGAGAACAAGAGAACATAATGAAATCTGTCAAAGAACGCAGTGATCAAAATGGATTTCGTCAACATGAAAGAAACCATAATCTTGGAAATAGGCGAATAAAAAATGCACTGAAAAAGGACACAGAGTTACAATTATTAAGCGTTATCTGTTTTTAGTCATTGTTTGGTTTGTTCCTTTTTGTTTATCAATACTATTTTATTAGAAACGGCAGTGGTCACACACCAGTGACTTATTTAAAACAACCGTACATGAACAGAACGGTGGTAGTCTAGACGCAAATGGGAAAGAAAGGCAGAAGGCATCGATATTTTCCGAGTGACTAATGCTACCTCTCTCCCCCTTCCGAGGTCTTCGAATGCAAAAAGAGGTTTTAATAAAACACTGATTGGGATGAAACTGAAAGAGCGAGCACTTTGGAATATCTTAAAGCCATGACCAAATCAAATGGGAAAGTAACCCCACGGATCAGAAGGGGAATTGCAATCCTTTCATCAAAACTAAAAAAGATGACATCGATTTGGAAAGGGTAATACAATGATGCAAGGATAAGAATTCTAAGAAGTACCATATCAATAATATCATGCTACACCGCAAAATATTGATGTGATGCATGGACCACCAGTGAACATGAAACAAAAGGGCTACAACTTTCAAAACAAAATTACACACTACGAAAAAGAAAATATTTAAAAAACTATATTCTGAGGAGATAAAAAAAAGAATGATGGTGCACGAGGAAGAATACAATGTAGGCAAGCATATAGACACGGCAAATTGAGAATGAACCTGAAACTAAACCACCTTGGTCATATCAAACGCAATGATTAACTCGAAGATCTCTTTCCGAAAGCAAAGGTAGAAGGCAAGAGAAAAATGAGAAAATCCAACAGAAAATGAGAACAGTCAAGGAAATCTGAATTGGAACCCAAACAACTCAGGTAGGAGAAGGACAAGAGATGGAATGTTTTATTATGGAAAGGTCCTAGAAGAAACATCTGACAACTGGAAAAAACTAACAAGAAGGTGAGAAAGTATGTTTAATTTTATCGGAGTTCATGATAAATCTCTTCAAGTAAACAAATCTATCTATGATTAAGAGAGAAACATATTTGACTGTTTCTAGAAGATGACAGTGGCACACAGGGTTTATCCAATTTTAATTCGCCACATGCCTCGTATGCTTCACTAGCATTGATTGTTCGAGTAATAGAAGAATACACAATCATTCGTCCGGTTCTCATCACACTTTCGAAGAGGCATTAATTCTTCTCACCATGAGCACTGGAGATAAATATTTTGCTTAAAGGTAAATTATATTATTCACCTTTTTAAAAACCATTTGTCATATAAGTTGTTAAATTAATTTCAACAGCCGCTCTTTGAAAATAAAAAAAGTCCTACGTATTATTTTGGAATGTAAATAAATCTGTATAAAACGTGTCGATTAAAAAAACCCAACACGTTTAATGAATGGATCGATTGTACATGTTTTACGTCCACCCCTTTTCCGCCCGCTTGTCCACCCACCTTTCTGACACAATTTGAATAAATTTGGAGGCTGGCTGCGTCGACCCTGCCTGTACCGAGTGGGATGTTTGATTAGAGCAGACAGACTGGAGAAGCTCGATGAA